CTATCTCCTCTGTGGGCTTGTGTGATTGTTCTTGTTCTGGAATGCCAATAATTCTTAAGTTATTCCTCTTCATGTTATCCAACATCAGTCTTAGGCCTTCTTCGGATTTTTTTATCCTTTTTTGTATTTGTTCTTCTGTCTTAGTAGTCTTGAGAGATTTATCTTCTAGCTCACTAGTTCTAGCTTCTATCTCTTCAATTCTTTTCCTTTGCCCTTTCAATGTATTGTCCATTTCTGATATCCTATTATTAATTGTTTGGACCTCTTTCTGTAGGCTTTGAATTGTTTCCAGTGTTCTATATATCTTATTTGATTGTTCCTGTAGCACTTTCCTGACTTCTTCCTTATTTTTCTCAACTGCATTGTATAGTGTTTTGATACCTTTTATAATTATTTTTAGGAATTCCTTCTCAGGCATTTCCAAAGCCTGCCCATCTTCCAGTAGGGAGTGTAGGTCTCCTTCCAGCTCATTGCCTCAGTCACTTTATCTCATTTCTTGACATGTGCAGATATGGTTGTCTGCTTCTGTGTTTTGGGCATCTTCATGGGTTATCTGTGGCCTTAATATTCAGATGAGTATATATTTTGGTATTTTTTATGCCTTCTGAATGCCTCCAGGTAGATGTGATCAGGAAATGGGCTTCTCTTTTCACTCTTCTTCCTGAGAAGTTTCAAGATACCACTGTTGTCATTTTGATGTAACTTAGGTTTTAATTTTCGGCCTGTTTCCTCTTTTGTCTGCTTGTCCCGCTCCACAATTCCCGTTCAGTCCTTGTTTCTAGTTGGAAACAGTTCAGGGCTGGCTGTGGCCGTTTGGTTTTAATTGGAAACTGTCTCTTTAAATCTCGAGGAGATCTGTGCGCATGCGTAGTAGAACCCTCCGAGGGTGGGTCTGGGGTTCCCACTCGCTCAGGCACCCCTATAGTCACCAGAATGAAGGTGCGCAGACAGCAAGGGACCAATGAACAGATACCAAAGAAAATAATGTCCACACCTTTATCTCAGCGGTTCTGCCAGGTCTGTGGCCCTCTGATCCTTCCTCTGTTTGGTCTTGCCCAAGAAGGTGGCTCCTGGAGCAGCCGAGCATCCTGGACTAGAAAGCAATAGATTTCTTGCTTCTGCCAGAAATTCCCCCAGCTGTGAGCCTTCCAACCTTCTAAATGTTCCTTTATATGTGGTTCAGAGTTCTGGGACCATTCCCTGAGCCTGCTTGGTCGGGTATTCTGTGTTGTTGTTGTTTCAGCTGTTTACTACACGTCCACCCAATCCGCCATCTTGTTTGTTCTTTCCATTACATTTTTGACAATTTCTGATTTACCTAGATTCATAATGCATTCATTCCATGTTCCGATTATTAGTGGAAGTTCACAGGTGTTTCTCTTCATTTTGAGTTGTGCCCCATCAGCAAATGAAGGTCCTGTGCGCTTTACTCCCAGCAGCTTTACTCCATTTGTATCATCATGGTCAATTCTACTTTGAGTAGGCATTTCTTCCCCAGGCACATTTTGAGTGCCTTCCCACCTGAGGAGCTCATTTTCCGGCACTATTTGACATTGTTTCTCTGCGATTCATAAAGTTTTCGGTGACTAAATCTTTGGAAGTAGGCTGTCACTCCTTCTTTCAAGTTGGTCTTCATCTGGACGCTCATCTGAAACCTGTCCACAGTAGGTGATTCTGGTGGTATTTAAAATACCCTTGGCATAGCTTGCAATCACAACAATTCACAAGCTACCACAGTAGGACAAACTGACAGACCAGTGGTGTGTATGTATATGTATATATATACACACACACACACAGAGAAGTATGTATATGTACACATACATGTATGTTTAAATATGCATAAACATATATATATATATAAAGTTGATATGCTAATACTTTTACAATTTTTACTGCTGTGTTCATAAGCGATATGTTCCTTTCTTGTAACATCTTTGTCTGGTTATGGTATTGAAAGTATGTTTGCTTTTTTAAAAATAAACGGAAGTTTTGCGTACTTTTTATATTCTCTGGAACAGTTTGTTTACCTTTTTCACCAACTCACTGTGGGTTAATGCACCAGACTGCAAAACTGTTTGAACTCCAAGGTCAGCGGTTCCGGCTCACCAGCTGCTCTTTGGAAACCCTCTACAGGTCGCTACGCATTGGAATCAGCTCAATGGCACTTAACAACAACAGCGCCCCATAGTTCAGAGTCCTGGTGTGATAGCATAGGCTAAGCACTGGACCTCAATGGTGGTTTGAACTGCAAGGACGGTAGTTCACATTCACCAGCTGCTCCTCAGAAATCATTTGCAGGGTTGCTATGGTACTTAACAATATGCCATGTAATAACAGCAATCCATACATAGTTCTGACAAACTTTTAAGGTTAAGGTCATGGTCCTTCACAAGGTTGTCCTTGCTTCACACACCTGCTACAAGCTTTGAGATCCCCAGGCCATCCTCATTTTTGACTCTTTAAATTCAGATCAGTTTGATCAGTCAGTAGAGTCAATAATGTTGAACTCGGGTAATGAACTCAGGAAAATATTACAAAATTATAGCAGAAGGGTAAGTTAGAAGCAGCCTAAGGAGATGTCTGGGAGGTTTCCAAACAGAAGCTTCTGTTGTCCTCAGGGACGTGTCACCTTCCTTGGACAGTATAGTGTGACAGTGCATAGAATGCTGTTAGTCAGGGAGATGACCTCAGCCATGGTTCCCAGAGTTTTGTTCAGCTCTGTAGTTGCTTTTGCCTGGAGGGTTCATTTGCTTTAAGTCTCTCTGTTGTGGCCAGAAAGGAAATTCTGCTTCTATTACTATGTAAGAAAATTGCCTGAGATTAATAGTATTCAGATTTTAAAAATAAGTTTTTTGAGTATCAAACTGATTTAGAATAGTAAACTATCTAAACATAAATAATATAAATGAATTATGCTGCCACATAGACCAATGATTTAATAAAGTTTGCCAAGAAATGCCAGTTAAATGATACTCATTAAACATTAATTTTTAAATGAATTCAGGTTTAAATTATATTTCTATAAAATAGGATTATTAAAGGTTTGCATAGACTTTTAATTCAGCCATAAAATGGTAAATTTAGGCACAGTTACTATATGAATTAAATTAATACACAGGCTTGAAATATTTTATATTCATGATTTTTATAAAAATATCAATTTTATCGAAGATTGGTCAGAAGATTTTTAGTAGACTTTGGTATTTTGCTCTATTGCACATTTATAATTCTTTATAGATAGAAGTAGTCTTATAAATTATTTGCTATATTGTACTTTCTTAGAGTTTTCAATGAAGTATTTGTTTTATCATAATATCCAGCATGTATTACTAGATCTAGACTGGGTACTAAATAAATATTTGTGCATACTGAGAAATCACATATATTAAATATTTGAAATACCATATTAAATTATGAAGATGCGACTTATCTAGTGGAACTATTACACAAAATGTTGAGTAGGATTTGTATCACTAATCCATATTTTGTATATTATTTAGGTGTATTGACATACAGCAGAGCAACGAGGTAGAGAGAACACAAGCACTTCGATTAGTCAGAAAGGTATGCTATATGTCTGAGAGAAAATGCAAGTATATGGGTTTGGGTTTAATGCTTTAGATTTTGTGAAAACTCTCTTAGAATTTATAAAGTTAAATCAATATGTTAAACATTCTGTTGGAAGTTTCCTATAAGTTGAAGAGATTCATTTAACTGAGATAAGCACAAATTTTTGTTTATTCTATGTGATTGGGTACAGCGACGATAGTATTTCTTACAAAGTAGCCATTGTAAAGAATATTTCTTCCCCATGTAAATACTGGTTTGCTAATTATTGGTGAAAGAGAATTATTTCTTCTTGCCCTAATATTCTCATAATTGATATGCATAGAGTTAGTATTATTAAATGGATGCTATGAATAGTTGCAAGCTGGGTGCTTTGAAGATGAATTTAATACAATCCATGGGCAGTAGTAATAAGCAGTTTAGGTCATTGTATAGGATAAAAGGACTTCTGGTGTGGTACTGTATGGTAAGTGCAGTACTGCAGTCGGTTTGAGCCACAAGCTCAATGGTCTTTGGTTTAGTGTAATACACTAAACACAGTGCAGAGGTACAGAGTGAGCGGAGAATGAATTTCAGTAAGATAAAGTATCAATTTTCATACTGAAGGAAAAGTGAGTGATGCAGTATATGTGTGTTTTAATGTAAAATATCTAAAATTATGAAACAGTTAAAATTTTTACATCTTTTCCTTCACCACCTTTCAATTCAATTCGTATTCCAAAATGATGGATTATTGAGTTTATGTATCAGAAAGGTTTGCTGTTTTTTCTTTTTCCAGCTTGTGCCTAGTAATAATACCCACTGGTAGGCAAAGTAATGTAGAAATAGTAAAAGGGTAAGATAGTTCTTCAGTTAGTTTGAAATTCTAGTAAAAGCAACATTGGAGTTAGAGTTTTGTTATAGGTAAACTCTTAAATCAAGACCATGCATTGACTTTGAAATTTAAATTTAATAAATAAGAGTTATGACTTTTGCTGATTTATATAATTCGTCCTACTGAGGGATTCAACTTAACGAGAATTCATTATAAAAAAGCAAGATACTTTTTGGATAATCTAGAGTAACATTTTGCTTTAGAACCTCTTTATATAAAACTATTGCGTTTTTGTAAAGTAAATTGCTTTAAATTTTAAAATGAAGAGGTTTTGTTTGGACTGCATCTGTTGGTATTTATCATACTAATTAAAAGCAAAAAATAAAAAATACTTAATATGTTAAGATAGCAGTAAGTCTATTACAGATAAACATTTTTATGAAAAGAGCTGTTTTCCAAAATGAGTATTAGTGAAGAGTGGCATTGTTTCAGTTTTTGCAGATTTCTTTAATGTCTTTCTTTATAGACTATAGCTGGATTATCGGTTTCATTGTACATTCAGGCGTCTGTGATACCACATTTAATTGAACTTCTTGGAAACTTCAGCATACATACAAGTATAATTGTAAGGAAATGAGAATGAAAAAGACAAAGTCTTAGTGTTACTATGAAAATAATAATAGCTGCCAACTTGTGAAAGTTGTCTTAGGGTCCCTCAGAATTACCTGGGCCACAATTTTAAAATTGCCACCCTGGAAATTGATTTGAGAAAAGTAGACAACTCTAAATGAACTTAAACAATTTAATTCTGCTTCTTTGGATTATTTAGTAGATATTTTAATTTTACAACATTTTTATACAAGTGAAAATTTCACTGATACCATTATTTCAATAAAAGTATACAGATGCTTAAAACTTATATAATAGCACCATAACAAAAATGACATTTTATTCTCTTGTCTTCTGAAGTGAAAAATAATTGGAGGTATGTATCATGGATGAATTGCAGAGCAGGAAACTTTCTTTTGCTTGTTGACAGGACGGCTCAGAGAAAGAATGGCATTATTACAAGTTTACTCCTTGGTTTAGTTAAAAGAAAAACACATTTCAATGTATTGGTGGTAGTTACGTGCCACTGAGTTGGTTCTAACTCATAGCCACCCTCTCTAGGGTTTCCTAGACTTTAAATCTTTATGGGAGCAGAAAACCTTATCTTTGTCTAGCAGAGCAACTGGTAGAGTTGAACTTTGCTGTTAGCAGCCCAGCTCATAATTCACTATGCTACTAGTGCTCCTTTTGATGTATGAATAGTGGCTGTTCTCACCCAGAGAGCTATAGTTTTATTAGTACTTTTTAGCAACCAAGTATACATTTATTTTTTCCAGAAACATCTTCACAATAAAAAAGAATAGAAATTAAAGTTAAATACCTAATTCCTAGGTCACTGTTTTTTGTGTGTATTCAAAATGTTAAAAAAATTTTCTATAAAAGTTTTAATCTATTTTCAAAAGAAATCAAAAACATTTGTTGCTTTAGGATACATTGCTGTATGAATGACATTCATGCTACTTTTTCTTCTCTTTGACCCATCTCATGTACTTAGCAGATACTTTATGTTTGTTTTTTTACCTCCATTGTCCCTCTGATTCTTCTCTCCCTACAGTTCAGGGTCTTTATTTTCTCTCTCGCATTTTCCATAGTAATTTTTCCATTGGTCAGCTGCTGTTATCCTATGTGTTCTAAATTCTGCTTACTGCTCACTTTAGTCATGTAATAAAGCATCAACAGTGTCACAGAATTTTTACAGCTAACAGGAATTCATTTGATAAAATCACTTGCCCTTTCTACACAGCTGTATAGTGGAAAACCAGAACTAAGACCATGTTCTAAAAGATTTCCAAACCTGCCTTGACTTACCAGTCCTTTGATAGTAATTAGTTCAAGCTAATATTAGTGGTGCTATGGTTTAATGCACTAGACTGCAAGGTCAATTTGAACCGCAAGGTTGTCAGTTCAAGCTTGCCAGACACTCCTTGGAAACCCTATATATGGTTGCTATGAGTTTGAACCGACTCAGTAGCACTTAACAACAAAAACACATATTAGTGGATTATAGTGCCAAGATGGGCCTTGTACTTAGTACCAAGTAGCAGTCCTTTGAGTATTAAGGCATTGAAGTTCACTTTTGGTCTAATCAGCTATTTCTGTCTGACCTCTCTTATTGTACTGGGAATGTTAACTTCCTTCTTACTCTTTTCATTTCCACCTCTTGGCATATTATGCTTGTCTTGTGAGCTCAGCTCAAATTTCAGATGTTCTTCTTAGCAAAATCAGTGCTTCTCCAAGTCCTTTTAGTCAGTTTCACAAATGTGTTATCTACTCATGGTCTTTCATTTGTTTCCTTATATGTATGGCCTATTGTGCCAAAAAATGATGGCTGTTTTTTTTTTAACTTTAGTAGAGTTACATTTTATGAATTACCCATTATTTATTCATTGATTTGTGAGAAGAGAATTCTGTGTTTTACACAAAATTAAGTTTTGAATAGATTTCCCTGAAAATTAGAAAAGTGATTTGATTTGCAAATATTTAAGTTTTATGTATCCTGTGAATAGCACATATGTTGAATTAATTTGTTGTTAAGTGGTGTTGAGTTACTTTTGACTCATAGTGACCCTGTGTAGGGTTTCTGAGGAGCAGCTGGCAGTTTTGAACTGCTGACGTTGTGGTTCACAGTCTAGTACTGATCCTACAGTACCATATTTAGGTACATATTAACACACATTTAAGATTGAGTAGGTAAAATTTCACGCTTAAATTGTGACATCTGGTCGCACATCAATTACTGATGACAGTGAAACCTGTGAGAGCTGGAACAAAGGGGTTGCCTTGCTTTTCTGGATTTCACAAGTTCTATAGTTTTTAAATCAGTCTTACCACCTCTATGGCTCATTTTAGTGGAAAATACTTGAATTTTCTTTCTATGACTGATTTCCACCGTAACCAGGTTGTACTTACTGTACACTAATTCTTTGTAATGTCTATATGAAGCAGAGATTAAAATTGGTGTATGTAAGTATCCTTTGCTCTCAAATACCACAATTTCAAAAATACAGTTTTAAACAAAATATTGTAGTGTAAGTCATTTTTCCAATTTTTCTCTGTTGCAGATGATTACTGTGAATGCTTCCTTGTTTCCTAGCTCTGTGGCTAACTCATTAATAGCAGTTGGAAACGATGGACTTCAAGAAAGAGACAGGATGGTTCGGGCATGCATTGCCATAATCTGTGAACTAGGTAAGACTTTTCTTCAAGTAATAAAAATTTAGTATTTTAAAGAGAGCATTTAACATTTCTTATTGTCTGTAATGGAGTCCTAGTGTGGTGCTGTGGGTTAATGCTCTGGTCTGCAAAGTTGGTTTGAACTACAAGGATGGTGGTTCAGCTCACCAGTTGCTCCTTGGAAACCCTATACAGGGTTGCTATGGGTCGGAACCAGCTCCACGATACTTAGCAACAGTAACAACAACAAATTTCTTTAATACATGAATTCCATATTTGCTGGTATAAAGATATGAAAATGTAACACATTCCCAATAGGAAGGAAGAAGATTTGATATTAAACAGTAAACTCAGAGGAACATTAATTTCTATATATTTTAAAGTTTTACTTATCATTATTCTTAATATAGAAATATCAATTATCCAATTAGATTGAAGTATCTTAAAATCTTTATCTCAGAAATTAGTAAACCACAGTACATTTTGTTAAGGGTTAAAAACATAAAACAATCCACCATGTATATAAATTGAATGCTCAATGCTAGATCATTAAAGAGTTAAATAGGAAAAAACTGAAGGGAAAAATATGAATGAATGTTTGGTAATTGGAAGGAAAAGGAGTTTTGACTTATGAAGGGAACTCACATAGGGGTGTCAGCCACATAGGCGGTGTGGCGCTGGAGGATAATCACAGAACTGCAAAGTCAGTTTTAACTACGAGGTTGGTGGGTCAAATCTACAGCCGCTCCTCAGAAGTAAACACCAACACAGATTTTATAAAAGGAGCCTTCCCCACCCCCACCCCCCCAAAAAAAAACCGAACATAACAAATCGGGAAAAATATATAAGATGATCGATAATACATGCTCCTACAAATCAGTAGCAAAAAACAGTTAATTTCCAAAGAAATACATGACTAACATGTTTAAGTAAGTTCAACCTCATTTATAATCAGGGCAATAATATTTAAAATTTTATTTGTAAATATTAAGACTAGATGTTTAACCTCTAGAACAAATTCCTTTATATGAGTTACATATTCCTTGTGTGGTTTTCTAATGTGGTGCTGTAGGGTAAGCACTGGACTGCTACCCATAAGGTCCATGGTTTAAACCCACTAACTGCTCCTTGAAAACCCTATACATGTTTTCCCTGAGTCAGAAACTACTGGATGGCACTTAATAACAAAAACAACAAGAATCTGGTCTTTGAATCTTTTTTTTTTTTTTAAGGCAAAATTACTTGGATGAGATTTCTTGATTTACCAGGTTTTCTCACCAAAAGTAGAAATGATGTAGGTTACATTTCTTCTTGATAGAACTAAAAATAAATTAATGAAAATTTAAAGATACCAATGCAGAACAAAACCCTGCCATTGAGGATTTTAAGTATTGTTCATAATACCTTTGATTTAAAGACACAGTCAGAAATATGATTAAGAACATTTAGAAAATAGTGAAAACGCAACTAAATGCCAAGTATGCTGTCCCTTAAAAGCTATACTCAGAATTAACTTCTTTTCATAAAATGTTTTTTATAATTAAGAATAAAGTAGTAGAAATAAGTGAATGAATTAATCGAATCTAATTCAAGAAATAAGGAAAAGAAATTTACAAGATTAGAAAAGCAAAAATAAAAATATGAGTCTTAATGAATTAGAAATAAGGTAGTTTATTAGATTTAAACTGTATTGATTGGAATAGAAAAACAGTGAAATAAGTAATTTTGGAAAATGAAAAAAGTAGTAAAAGAAAAGAAATACAGAAATGAGGAAAAGCTTGTATGAGATTTTTATAAGATAATTCATATGTACTTGAAAATTTCATTGAATTGGATGGCTTTAAGGGAAAATTTGAATTTCCAGTTTATTAAAAAGGTACAAAACTTTTTAAAATCAAGAAACTGCCTCTAGTAATTTTGTCTTAAAAACAAAAAGACATTTCGAGGAATAGATAAAATAACTCACACAGAATAATCTGTTCTAGGGTGTTAAAAAGACTTAAACCTACTAATTTTAAAAATAAAATTAGCATTTTTATATGTATATATATCTGCACACATACCATAGCGGATCGGGTGGAAGTATAGTAAGAACTCTGCCAGCAACAACACAGAATACCCGACCAAGCAGGCTCAGGGTATGGTCCCAGAACTCTGAACCACATATAAAGGAATATTTAGAAGGTTGGAAGGCTTGGAGCTGGGGAATTTTGGAAGAAGCAAGAAACCCATTGCTTTCTCGTCTGGGACGCTCAGCTGCTCCAGGAGCCGCCATCGTGGTTGAGATCAGGCAGGGGAAGGATCGGAGCAGCCATAGTCTCCTGGCAGAACCGCAGAGATAAACGTGTGGACAGTCATTTCTTTTGGTAGCTGTTTACATTGGTCCCTTGCTGACTGCGCACCTCCATTCTGGTGATTAGAGGGATGCCTGAGCGAGTGGGCACCCCAGCCCCACCCTCGGAGGGTTCTACTACTCATGTACATAGATCTCCTAAAAATGTAAAGAGACAGTTTCCAATTAAAACCAAACGGCCACAGCCGGCCCTGAACTGTTTACCACTAGAAAAAAGGCCTGAACGGGGATTGTGGGGCAGGACAAGCAGACAAAAAAAGGAAATAAGCCAAAAATTAAATCCTAAATTCCATCAGAGCTCGGTCAACAACAACACGGACCACCAGGCCAAGAGGGCTCATGAG